TGTCGTAATTATTCGGGAGAGATTACAACACGCAGAGCGCTCATGATCGGTAGAGAATACTTAGGCGAAATTATAGAAGACATAGCGGGAAGGATTCCGATAATTGGAAAAATCAAAACTGTAGACTTCCTTAATCTTTTCTCCAACCTGTAGTATCTTTAGTGTTAATTTATTATTTTAATTTGTTAGTTAGTTAGTTAAACACAAGAATCTTAATATCTATAAGTTAGGAATTGTTCAAGCTTGTATTCTTGGTGATAGTGAACAACTGTAGCTAAGCCTTAGTTCTCTGTGGGATTCGACTCCAGACTTTTAGACCGGATTATATTTGCAGCGACCGCTTAGTCCTTTTTATAAGGCATAGTTGGGCTTGATCAGTTGAAATTTACAATGTGTATGATGATGTTTTCAATAATCAAATGTGTTTTAGTTTCTGCAAAAAAATTAGACTGCTGAAGCAAAAGTGGACTAATCCAATCTCATAATAGCAAAAAATTATACTACCAACAAATTAAAAGCAGGTTGAATAATCTGAAATGTACTTAACTAACAAAAGCAAGTTCATATACATCCCATATGTAAGTAAGGTTCATACATATGAGCAAATGACCAACATTAGTAGGTTCAAAATACTTCACAAAATAGGTTCATACACATGACTAACAAAATACAAGAAACTTCTTCCTAAATTTGACTTCTGTTTGAGTATTTAAATTAGGGAGTTCATTAAGGGGTTTTTTGGAATTTCACAAAAAAATGTGTTACATTATTGTTGGGATTACTTACACACGAGCGAATCCGGAGGTGTAACACACGCGATGAGGGCTGGTGAGTCGGGTGTTTATTGAGTTCACTTTTTAGTCACGTAAAATATTTAAGTGAAAAAGGTCTCAGTTGAGGTATTCAAATGACTGTTGGGGACAACTTAATTTAATTATTATTTTAGGATGCATCTAGACACAGCCGGTGGGGTGGGGGTGGGGGGGATTCAGTCTTGCCCGATTTTCGTGTGTCAAAAACATGGTTCTTTGACCTAACTATTCTGACACAAGACTCAAAGTGAAGTGCAAAAACTAAAGTACACAAGTGAGTTTACGAGTAACACCACGACCTACTCTCGTAAGATTTGCCTCAATACTTCATTAATTTCAAAGAGCGATTTTAGGTTACAAAGCAATAACCATAGGGACTAAGTCTATTATACCACCCCTACAATTAACCCAATTGTATCTACCCTTTTATAGACTACAAACTCTAGCCTAGAAAGCAAAACAAGTTCTTCAGATTTGTTTGCCTATGATTACACCTCTCAATAACCAATATATCTTTTAATTAAAGAACAATTGACTCAAACCTAAAACAACAAAGAATTTGAGCAGCTTTGTCTTTTGGACTTGATTCTTCAGTTGAGCAGCTTGAATCTCTGAAAGCATCTTCTTGTTATGATTGCTATTAACCTTAAATAAATTTTGTGATTGTGCAGAATAGCGGTAGCATTCCATAGCATCAATATTATACTTTATATAAAAGTGAAATTGGCTGAATCCTTTTCCAGTTTTAGCTCCAATACCTAACATAATTCGATTAGCTCTTAAGAAAAACAAATCCTAAAAAGATTCCAATTTATTTTTTTAAAAGCTCCTTCACGCATTTTTCATTTCATGCGAGTATTTTCATTACTGAAGAATCCTTGTTGAACACAAATTCTTTCAGCTAGTATTTTCCTTGTATTCCACGAACAAAATCTTTTCAATTGTTAATATGAATGTTTAAACTAGTTTGCATTAGAAAATGATCGTCATTTTTTAATCAATAGATTTCAGGTTACCTGGTTCTTTTGTAAACGTTTATTAATCATCAAAACAAATTAAGCTCATTTCAACAATGTTTTTCATTTTTGATGATGGCAAACCCATGGGAAATATTCCGCATAAGAACCAGTTTCATAGCCATCTCATGTCCTCTAAAATATATGTTTTGCTCAAGTGTAAGGGACTTACCTTTTATTCATTACAACCTTATAGATAGCTAGGCATAAGAACCAGACTGGTTCAACATTATTTCTACAAACACACGCCTTAAGCAACAGATTATCACATAATTGAAACGTAGAGGCCAGATTCGTCCATTGATTAGATTTAGGTGGAGATTCTTAACTTTTCCCTTTTGCCATCATCAAAAAATAAAGCATTAATAGAGTTAAAAGTGAGATCTAAGCAATATCAAACTCATGGCCACTCGAATAAACTAACATGTGCATAATTTCATGAGCTCAAACGTTTAATCTAATGATATTATCCATCTTGATTAAATTTTTATACCACATCAAGCCCTCACGAGCCCAAACCAAAAGATGGTTATACTGACCCTTCAACTGCCACATTCACAAACAATAACACAAAAAAACACCTCTGTGAGCGTCATTGGGACCAATACCGGAATCTACACAAAAAGTGCAAAAGTACATTATGAGTACAACCGACTCCATACACTAAACAAGTATCGAGCCTGACCTCGATGAGGTAATAAAGAGGCTATGACAAAATACTTATAAACATGTGCAAGTAATAAATAGAAAATAATAGCAAGATAAAGAGAGGCGAATAAAAACATAAGATTTAAATGAGGAAATAAAGTAGCAAAGTTCACGGAATCAGCAACCAAGAAATAAGCATAAGATATCACATTTGTTGCGGCGTGCAACCCGATTCTAATATCAATACCAACAATAACAACTACTATTGCGGCGCGCAATCCAATCCCAATATCAATAATAAATATCGTTGTGGCGTATATCCCGATTCTAATATCGATAATAAAAACCGTTGTGATGTGCAACCCAATCCCAATGTCAATAATAAATACATTTCTAGCGTGCAACTCGATCCCAATATTAATAATGAATACTATTACGACGTACAACCCCATTTTACATTAATAATATAATATCATCCAACAACAACCAAGCCCGGAAAAATTCATAATATTACATAAAAGGAAAAAATACGTGAAAGCTACCTAGGAACAATGCATACAAACAAGTAATGATAGTAAACTCAAATCCAAGAGCTATTCTCACCAAGTACGTAACACGTGGACTACCAAATAACCACACAAGCCCACGTAGTATAAGAGAATAAGGCATGAAACAAGTAAGACATAATACAAGTAATGGTATAAGACAAGTAAAATCTTGTAGCGAGTAAAGATATGTATCAAGTAAATGCATATAGCAAATAAGATATGTAACAAGTAAAGGCATATGACAAGTAAATGCACGTAAAATGTAAAGATATAAAATAAGTAATACATGAAGTAAGTTAGTTCTACCTGCATGTTTTAACCCATGTGAACACATATACACTCATCACTTTGTATATACATCGTCCCCAACATACAGAACACATAGTAATTAGACCAATCACATCTTAATTCCATCAATTCAACGTTAACCACGATACTTACTTCTTTCCGTAACATAACTACAATCCAACATATCCTTGCCTCTATCACAAGCTTCCAAACAACTCGAATGTAATCAAATAATATTCAAACAAGTCAAATCATGATTTAGAAACTATCCAAGTATCAAAAAACTTCGATCATTATCATGTTTGAAAAAGTCAACAAAAAGCAAATCTGAGTCTACTTAGTCGCTATCCGAAATAACTATCAAATTTTGATTAACCATTTACCTTCGCATCCAAATATGTGATTTGTATCATGATTAGACCTCATATCGACGTCCAAATATCAAAAATTAGAGTTCATAAGTTTTTTCCAAAAACTCGATTTCTATGGTTAAAAGTACTAGATTTAGGATAAAAATATGGAGAATTCATGAAAATAAATCAAAACAAGATAAAAATTACCAACCTTAAAAGTTGGAATGAAAGCCCTTCAAACAATCTCCCAAATTCGTGGTCTAGGTCTAAAAAATGGTGAAACAGGCTAAATCCCAATTTTCAGCATTATTGTACCTGAGCGAACTTTCTTCTTCGCGTTTGCGAAGGAGCACGTATTTGCGAAGACCAGTGGTCAGTAACCACCACATTCGCGAATCCCAGCTCGTGTTCGCGAAAGACAACTCCCAGTTTTACATTCGTGGTGCACCCCCATAGTCCCTAAAAGTCTTGGAAGCCCCACATTCGCGATCCTACCGATGGGTATGCGAAGAACAAATGTCTCCTGGCCCCGACTCCTACTACGTGATCGCTATGCCACCAACGCTAGAAGAAACTACGTGATCGTGGTACTACCTATGCAATCGTAAAGAACAACCTACCCCCAACCCCAATCCTCTTACGTGATCGCAGGACAAACTCTGTGATCACTAAGCACTTCGAAACACCAGGAGATCAGCTAACTCAACAAGGCCAAAAATGATTTGAAACCAATTGGAAACTAACTTGAGCCCCTGGGGCCGACTCCAAACATCCACACAAGTATATAAACCTCAAACGAACTCGCTAATAAGCTCAAAACATCAATTTAACATTATGAATCACCCATCAAAACTCAAAGATTTCAAAGTTCATTAAGTTGAAAGTTTTAACTTTTCACAATAAGCGCCGAAACGGCCTTGATTCACCTAGCACCTAAACAAAACATGCGTATAAGTCTAAATTTATCATACGAACCTACCAGAATCATCAAAAAACTGATTCGAGGCCTTGACCGTGATCAACTCTCACCATTATCGAGTTCAAAAATCAAGGTTTTTTTAAAAAATACATGTAAACTTTTCGAAAATAAAACGGACCATGCATGTATGTCAAAAATCATCAATTAAAGCTATATAAGGTCTCAAATCACAAAATGAGAAGCTAAAACTCAAAATGACTTATCGGGTCATCTCATTCTCCATCTCTAAAAACCACATTCGTCCTCGAACAACATAGAAATGTACCTGAATTGGTAAAAAGAAGTTGTTATCTACTCCTCATATCAGACTCGGACTCCTATGTAGCCTCCTCAGTCAGCTGATTTTTCCAAATCACTTACACAGAAGGAACATCCTTAGATCTCAACTTCCGAACTTGCCTATCCACAATAGCTACCGACTCTTCTTCATATATCATATTCTCATCAAGCTGTACTGTGCTAAAGTCCAATATATGCGACTTGTCTTCATGATACTTCTTAAGCATAGAAACATGAAATACCGAATATAGCCCTGCTATCATGGGAGGCAATGTAAGCCTATAAGCACCCTCCCCCACTCCCTTTAAGATTTCAAATGGGACAATAAACCTTAGACTCAACTTGCCCTTCTTTCCAAATCTCATCACGCCCTTTACAGGCAAAAATAACAAAAGTATTTTCTCGCCATCCATAAAAGCAACACCACAAACCTTCATGTCTGCATAACTCCTGTGCCTACTCTGCACTATCCAAAGGCAATCCTGGATCAACTTCACCTTATCTAGCGCATCACGAACCATGTCTGTCCCCAAAATCCTAGCCTTACTAGGCTCCACCAAACCAATAGGAGAACAACACTACGTACCATATAAAGCCTCATACGACACTAATTGAATGCTTGACTGGTAGCTATTATTGTAGAAAAACTCCGCCAATGGTAGAAACTAGTGCCATTAGCCTCCGAAACCAATGGCACATGCGATCAATATATCCTTAAGGATTTGGATAGTCTACTCGTACTAGCCATCCGTCTGAAGGTGAAATACAATATTGAGGTCCACCTGTGTGCCCAACTCTCGCTGAACAGCTCTCCAAAATTGGTGAACTGAGAGAGACGATCCGAGATGATAGAAATGGGCACACCATACCAGCTTACAATCTCCTTGATGTAGGTGTGATCCAACCTCTCTGATGTATAAGAAGCATCACCATAATGAAATGCACATATTTGGTCAATCTGTCCACAATGACCTTATAACGATCCGACCAGTCGTTTTGAGTTTTAGCATTCCGTTTAGTAGTTTGAAACTTTGAGTAGCTTCATAGTATGTATTATAACTTGCGTGAATGGTTGATTTTGTTTTTCAAGTGGCTCATGAATGATTTGGAAGAATGACTCTCGATTTGGAAGCTTTAAGTTGGAAAAGTTGACCAAATATTGACTTTTGGGCAAACTGATTCAGAATTGAGTTTTGATAGTTCCGATAGGCTCGTATGATGATTTTGGACTTGTACGTATGTTTGGATTTGGCTTTGTAAGACCCTAGGATGATTTGGCTCTTTTTGTTGAAAGTTGGCAATTTGAAGAATTTAAAAATTCATAAGTTTTACCAAGATTTGACTTTGATGTTATTAGACACCAATTGGTGAGTCGAGACTTTGGATAGGTCTATATAGTTGAATTGAACTTGTATGCAAATTTTGGAAGTATATCGAAGTGTGTAAGTTTGATTTGGACACTCTTTTGAAGGAATGAAGACTTAACAACTTAAGAGAAATTCTATTCGGCTTGAGCCTCGATTCTTTGTTATGATATTCTCGTGATTTTTTGAGGCTTTGGAGGATGTATTTTTACTTTTTGTTATTGGATGGGTCCCGAGGGGCTCGGATGTTTTTTGGGTAATTGGTTGAGAGACTAGTTAAGTTAAGAATTTTGAGTTTGACCATGTTCAATGTCGGGTTAAGATGACCTCTTTTCGGTATTTTGAGTGCACGAGCAGGTTCGTAGCATATTTTATGATTGAAATGCATGTATGATTTGTGTCCTCAAGGTTCCAAATGAGTTTTTGGTGCTAAAACGAAGTTTTTTTATTGCTGATTTTTCTAGTGTAAATAATTATGAAAATACCAGTTATATCCCTGAAATTTTCAGACTTCCTTTAAAACTTTAAACAACATATCTCCTCATTTTAAGGCCAAATTGGGTGATTCAAAAGGATATCTTGGGTGTAATCTCATAAGGATCATGTTGGGCTAATCAAATGTGAGTTTCGGGATCATCTAACATCTGATTCGAGCTGGAACAACTGTTGTTCTTTTTCATACTTATTTCGGGATTTAGTTACTTTTCTCACAAAATTTTAGAACTCGGGAACATGCGATTTTTGAGGGAGTTTTCATCTACTTCATTGGGATAAGTAAACCTAACTCGAATTTATGATTTTAACATTAATCTATCAATGATTTTGGCTCTAAATCAAAGAATCTTAAAGAAGAAAAGAGGATTTTGGCTTGAAAGATAAGAAAGTGTATTTTGAGGGGTTTTGGCAAAACTTTTCTAAAGTGAAAATGGAGATTTGAACCACGAGTTGGTTTTTGATGAAACTTGTATATTTGGACTCATATTAAAATGGATGTTCGGGATTTATGAGTTTTATCGGGCTCCAAGATGCGGGGCCCGAGTTGACTTTTTGGGTTGACTTGAGTATTTGATTAAATATTCGACCTTTATCATTTGGGTTTGATTTCTACGGAATTATTTGATGTTATTGAGTTCTTTTGGGTTAGATTCGAGCTGTTCGGAGGCCGATTCGCGTGGGGAGGCATTTTTAGAGTATTGATTTGGCTTGTTTGAGGTAAGTGTCTTGCCTAACTCTGTTGAGGGAGTTTTTCCTACTAAAATAATATAGTTTGCTACATGCAGGGGTGATGTATATGCAAGGTGATGAGTGTATATGCATGTTCCAGGGTTTCCATGCTCGGGGTGGATTATATGATTTCTTGTGCCTTGCTGGACTTTATGATTTACTTACCTCATGTTTTACTTGACTTCGATAGTAGTATGAGCACAAATTTCAATGCTAGAGACCATACTTTAGCTTACTAAAACTTGATCAAATATGATGAATTCTTTGTGAAACTGTTGATGTGCTAAATTAGGTCGAACCATACCTAAATCATGAATACATGTTATTCTGGAGATAATTAGGTTCCATACTTATGTTGAAGATCATGTTTGAGCTTTGTTGAGATACTTGAACAATGCGGTTCTTGAAGTTTATCGATTTGTATGGTGCAAAAACTATGATTGTCGTTCACTGGTGTATTTTGCTTAACCATTCTTCTTGATGTTATCTGTGCTTTCTACCTTACTTGTTGTTGATGTATACGTGATTGTTTAGGAAGAGTGAAAAGCACAGAGGCTAATGTCGTCCCATTGTTTTTACATTATCACGCGGGGATGAGAGTAAAAGCACGAAGAGTGATGTCGTGCAATTGTTTTTACATTATCATGTGAGGAAGAGAGTAAAAGTACAAAGGGAGATGTCGTGCAATTATTTTTATATTAAAATGTGAGGATGAGAGTTTATGGCATGAAGGGTGTTTTCGCCCAGGCGAAGATGAGAGACATGCATTATATTGTGTTATCTTTTCCTTGTGGATACATTTGTGACTTTATCCTGAGTTGCTTTTGTTGAACCTATTTCCATGTTGCTTGTTATTATCACATCTTTTCCTTTTACTTTATTCGTTATTGTTCTATCCATGCTTTCTAATTATTTATTGTCACGACCCAATTTTCATTATATGCCATGATGGCGCCCAACACCACTGTTAGGCAACCCAACACTGACCAAACTAGTGAGTTCCTGTTAAATAAATTATTAAGTGGGTGTTACTTTCTCATTTATTAAAAGATTTAGAAAAGTTTAAAATGGAACACAATTAAACGGAAACAAAGAGTACATATCGTAATCATGTAAACATATTCCAAAATCATAAGTCTACTAGCGTGTGTGCCAAGACCTGGTGTCACAAGTATGTGGAAAAACTAGTAGAAGATACAAAAGAATGCTAGCCTATTGTCTGAAAGAAAATAGAAAGAAAAATAAAGCATAAGAGAGACTCCAGCTGCAGAACGGCTCAAAAGGCAGCTCACCGTGAAGTCTCGGGATGGGGTTCAAATCTGCGCGCCGGACTGGTGGCCAGATACACCTGCCTCAAACCCTGTACAATTAAGTACAGGTGTGTAGCATGAGTACATCAAAATTTGTACCCAGTAAGTATCTAGTCTAACCTCGAAGATGAAGTGACGAGGGGTCGACTCCGATACTTACTAGGGCCAACAATATAATAATATAAAATTCTAATTAAGCATGATATATAGAGATAACAATAAAACTCAGAACAGGAAATAGCTGAACAATTCTTTCATCATTTTTAAGAACCCAAAACACTTCCTTCATTTTAAACAAATGATCTTCTAAACGATGAATTTATACAAGTTATAAAAAGGACTTCCAATTCTATTATCACATGCAATTTCCAGAGGACGTTCGTCCCGATCCAACACAAATGTAAAATGTGCACTGCCGAGGGTCGAACGACGCGAACCATAGATGCATCTCTTTACCCCGCTCGCGAATCATACATGCGATGCGGTCAAATATAAATTTAAGGAATTACCGCGCTCGCAGATCATACATGCGACGCAGTCAAATATAAATTTTTCATAAAATCATAATCCTTTCTTGATTCTTTTAAAATAAAGACAATTCACCTTGAAGCCTTTAAATCCTTGGAAATCCTCAACTTAATTCCATTTGTCACAATTAGCAAATATAATCAAATAACGGTGTCCACAAAGCATGGTGTAAACCTAAAACTACCCGGACATAATCAGGAATAGTAGCTACGTACGGACTCTCGTCACTTTGTACGTACGTAGTCCCCCACAAATAATCACATTTTTATTAAGTTTTCCTATGGGGAAATTTCCCTCTTACAAGCTTAGGAAAGAGACTTACCTTATCTCAAGGCCTACTTTCCGGTCCAAGATTATGCCTAAACCCTTAATTCGGTGCCGAACAATCCAAAACTATTCAAATAGTGTATAAACTAATCAATGTATGTTTATAAGTTCATAACCCAACTATTAAAGTGATTACTCAACTCTAAATGCAAGATTCCTAAAATTCATCCCCGGGACCACGTGCCCGGATTCCGAAAATTTTCGAAGGAAATTGTTACCCATAACCTTAGGAACATAAGTATATGATTTTCACTAAGTTCCATAACCCCTTTAGTGGTAAAATCCCATTTTTTTTTATCAAAACCTAGGTTTTCCATCTAACCCATGATTCCAAAAATTTACATGTTAAAATCTACCCATAATCTATGTATTAAACTCACATTAGGTAGGAATTTCTTACCTTCAATTGCTAGGTTGAAATCTCCCTTTTTGAAGCTTTAAAATCTCCCAAGTGTGTGAAAAATGAGAGAAAAATGCCTAAGTCTCGTATTTAAAACAAGCTTCTGCCTAGCTATGACGACCTTCTACGCGAACGCGAAGGAAGCCTCAAGTTCACGAAGCCTTACCCTGATTGGGCATCGGTAACGCGACATCTCGTTCGCGGACGCGAAGAGAAAAGCTCACTGATCCTGCCCGGCCCCATTTCCCCTGCGCGAACGCGAGTGGGGTTTCGCGAATGCGAAGGCCTAGGCTCACAAGGCTTCACGAACGTATGAGCCTTACCGCGAATGCGAAGGGCAATTTGCCCACTGCCCTAGATCCTTCTTC